TTTGCATGTTTTCAGCACAAAAAGGAACCACCTTAATCTACTCACTTGTAGATTAAAAAATGTTTGTCACCTAAAGTACCCCCAAAAGCAATTCCAAATGCTTATGCCTAAATATTATGAAGTCTCAAAGGGGTACATGATTTCATGTACTACTACATATACACTGCAATAAACAACATCATGGGATTTCTGATTGACAAACAAAGGTCAGCCAACACAGATAAAAATCACATGCAAAATATAAAGATTTCCATTTTAGACGCCTATTAATGTTTTGCGCTCTAGACATAACTTGTACTTGAGACAATTTTATGGTCATTAAAAACAACGAAGTATTCTTAGCAACTTCCATGTTAACGAACTGTCACAAGTACATTAGGTATGCACTGTGCTATTTGACTCATTCATAAAGGATTACCAATATGTCATGGATACTTTAATAGAATACTATTCTTTTTCAATATAAATCAGTACCAATAATAGATTTTGTAAGTGAGCCCTTTGACCTAGGAATTACTTATTTTTGTGGGGGAGGAAGGGTTATTATTTCTTATAAGTTTTATAGATCATAAAATCATTACACATTATGTATTGTAATAAGACATTAATCAATTGCTGGCACTATCTGCCACTCTAGACATTACGTATACACATAATTATATAACCTATTGATGAGCAATGTTTGATTTCTCTGTTGTTCTGGACACAGAGTTTTAAAAAAAATGCTACCTCATCCAAAAAATTTCGCCAGCCTGTGTCTCTGCTAAAGGTACTAGCAACAAATTTAGAATGGATGCAGAACTATAGTTAACGTATGAATGGACTTGCCTTAGAGACAAAGTCTACTTCCATTGAACCCAATGGCTCATTTACTGTTGACGTCAGCAAGAATAGGACATATGCTCCTTCGGATTTAGATTCTGAAAATCAATAAAAGTTAGGGACAATATGCAGACATATTATATTAACCCAGTACATTTGTCCATTCTAAGATTAAATACCTTGAGTAAAATTCTCCTCTCATTTACACTGGGGAAAAGCCTAAGTAACTATACTAACTTCAGACAAGTTCTTCCAAACTTGAAGATACCTATTCCCTGACTCTGTTGAGAGTATTTTCTGAAGGTTAAGGACACAGCCAGAGCTATTTATCTTAAAGCTGATCTTTCAGATGGTTATTTAGTAAAGAAACAACATTTCCTAGTGTGGATTTATTACCAGGCTCACACACTGATTCCTGAAGTAGCGGCTGCTGTTTATATGACTATCACTTTTTGCTCGGCAAAATCAACCCCCAGAAATTTTCTATTAATTTGTAACTTAATGCATAAAGAAGCGCGCTTGTGAAATTACCAGAAAGGAGTAAATAAATGATTCATGTGGGTTGGTTTTTTTATGAATACAATATTCCTTTCTTTGCTTTGCCTGGTTGAAAAAAGAATGGGAAGATAATTCAATTTTATGACAAATATTAAATCCTTTTCTAAAATTCTAACCTAATTATAGGGGTGAGCTAAGAAATACGTATATGTAATTTCTCAGACTATTTCTTGTTATGATAGCAATGCTGTGGAAAGAAAGAATCAAACACGATAGCCCATTTATATATGTTCATTATAAATAAGCATAAATGTTATTAGCATAGCAGCTTTAAGTGATTTTCCGTCCCTGTGCAAGTATAATTAAACTGGAACCCAAAATACATCTGTGGAAATAACATGTTAAAACAGTCCATGACTTGCCAAGAGATCCTAAGAGATCTGCATTATTGTCAGTAAAATAGCTGGAGTTTAAATTATCTTGCAGCCTAGGAAACACAGCAGCACATGACAAATGTTTTCCACTGAGCTTTGTGCTTAAAAAAGATAGATGCAGCAGACCCAGGGAGCACGATCCAATTCCCCAACAAGAGAAGTACCAATTAATTGTGAAAAACATCAGGCCCTCAAACAGGATGGTGCCTACTGACCTGAACGGAACTTTTAATAATACTAATTGCTCATGGCAAAACTTTTTTGATGGTATAGGAAGAAACTCAAACTATTTCTTCGCAACTACTATTTCAAATGAAAAGGCAAGCATCTTTGTTGGCAGTCAGCTTTGGTAGAGTGAGGCTCAGAGGAGAGAAACACAAGCCAGTGCCTTAAATATATGTGAATTCTGTGCATGTGAAAGGCACCAGGTGTAGATGTTTGAGTCGGCTCTAAAAGGAACCCAGGTGACTCAATGTGAAGCAAAAGAGTCAGCTTCAATCTCTTTCCCAGACAGGCATGGGCGACTGGTGCCACTTTAGTCAGGGGGGGGCATATGCCCCCCCAGCAACCAGTCAGTGACCGAGGCGGGGTTCCCCCCACGGCCAATCTCACCGACCAGGAGGGGTGTCCCCCCATAGCTGATCGCACCGACAAGTAAGCAACTGTGCCACTTCGTCCAGGAGCTCACACTCCCTGGCCAGTGCTTGCAGGGCAGGCGCCAGCACTCCCGCCTGCCCCCACTCCCCTCCCCACCTGCCACCTATGCAAGGAGCACGGCAGACAGGCCATGTGTGAAGACAAGAGGTAGCTTAGCCTCAAAACTCATTTTGCTTTCAGCCTTTCTGCTAAGAAAAGCAATTAGTGGAAACCACAGTAGTACTATATACAGGATATCCATGGAGAATTAAGAAAAACCAAAACCGTTACCACTAAACAACCATGACAGGGTAGCTATGGTTGAGCACTGCTGAAACAGATTGGGATTATTGAGCTAGTTCCCTCAAAGTACATCTTAATACCAATCACCTGAGTAAATCTTGTCATCCAAAACACAGCATCTTCTAAAGGACAAACCAATCTACTTCATGGCAAGTCAATGCAGGAAGAGTGTCCTCCCTTAGAAGCCTTTCCCCTAGCACTAAAAGAAGGAAAGTCAAAGGGAAGCCAGAGTGAGCTTGCAAAACAGTGAGGCTACAGAATAGGAAGGAAGGAAACCTGCTGACTTGCAGAGCAACTCTTACTGTATGTGAAAACATCAGGGCTGATCACCATCTGGTTTTAACCTCTTATCAATGAAAATACTTTCCCCCTATGTGAAAATGTGCACACAAACAGGATATATGATCCCCCCCCAGCCTCTGAAATGAATACTGTGTAGTTGCTTCATTACATGTACAACTTCCACTCCTGGCAAATTATGTAATAAAAGTTCCCACTTCCGATCTCTCATCACTTCTACATTGATACAATTTCACTGTTTGTGTAGAGTTCCTCCCCATTTAAACTGGTACAGACAAGAGCAGAATCAGGTCTATCATTTTAATTTAGCTTAAGTTTTACAGCGTTCTACCCTTTTATCTGCCAATTGCTGACACATTCATTTAACTGTACTCATTAGAATAAGTTTCAAAATCCTGAGAAATACACTTCATATTTTTGAAGGATTCAGACATTAGGAAGCAAAAGGTTTAAAATTATCCATCTGTGGCTGTGAAATATAAAATGTATCAGTCTAAAATTGTATTTTATTCTGCACTTGCGAAAAAGAAAGAGAAAAATGTTACTGCCAACAGAGATGTCAAGAAAATGGAATAGGATCCACAATAATATGGATCTATTTTCTCATCAAACTAGAACATTTTTCCACAAAGGTAATATGGTAATAGCTGGAAATCTTACAGCTATCATAATTTTCATTTTGCTGCAAAGATGTTTTGCCAACAATACATGAAAAGCCTTTCAAATACGGATGTGATGATCATTGAAAGCCCATTAAGCATTCCCTGTGCACTAGAATTGTGTGCTCCAGGTAAGTTCACCAGGTGAGGTGCAGAAGCCTCAAGCTCCCAGTGACAAAGTAGGAGAGGATAGTTGTCAGAAAGTTCATTTGCAAGAACCTTCCTCCAAGGCAACTCTGTCTAAGCATGCTAGGAAACCAGGGAAATGAGACTCTCAGCTGTTAACACATACGGAACTGCTCCAGCACCTCTGGGGTGGCCAAATAATAAATCTCACGACATGTGGGGAAGGGAACAAAGTTTTTCTTGGGACAGGGTGCACCACCTCAACCAGCTCCTAATGCTGGAGTGTGCTAGTAGGATACAACTTTGTGACATGCAGGACAAAGAGGAATGAAAAGAAGTCTCTATGCCAGGCCACCAAGGGCATGATCATCTGGTTGAGATTAACTTCAGCTACCTGCGGAGCTGATCACAAATGCTATGTAACAATTCCACACCCGTTTAGGATGAGAAAAAAAGAATAGTACCATGTTCATTTGAAAAAGGAAGGAAACTTTAGATAGCAGGCAGGAGTTAGGATTTGGCCAGAACCATTAGGCTAGTATCTGTCCTCTTAAAAAGCTCGGGGAGATGCAACAATAGACAAATGCAACATTCGACAAAGAGAAATGTAAATAGCTGCTATAATTTTAAAGAACTTAGTTGCATCTAGTTCGTATTTGCATTTGGTATACAATGTATTTAAATAAAACATTCCCACTTTATGAGACAACAGCTTTAGTACAGATGTAGAAATGTAAAACGGTTTGTCCCAGGGCAAATGCAACATCTATTTGTAGCCTAGATACTTGGAGTAGGTGACACAAAATTAATAGAAGTGGATAGATGATTTGTAAGCTCTGGTCACAAAACTAGAGCCAACCTCACTCACCAGTTTCTCCTTGTTCTGTTCAGATGCCGTTGTTCACATATTCTTTAATAGAGCCATAGACGAGTGACCAAGGTAACTACAGATCTTGCTCTAACATACCAGTAATTTTACCTCCCAGTAGCAAGTATTTCAGCAGAAACTGATTTGGGCATAGATAACAGCCAAGCAGTTTTCACAAGCAATTTGTGCAATTAGTTAACACATTAGAAAGTTAACCACGAGTTAAACAGTCGCAGCACACTGGTATTTCACTTTTAGCTGGAATTCCCTAGATAGAAATCAGGAGGATATTTATTCCAAACATTTTTATTTCTTTGAACAATGCAGCTGCTAAGATTCAAAACTGTTGTTTTGGTGGGTAGATTGGTAATTACATTGTTAGTATATAATTTATAACTACATATATAAAAATATTTGTCTAAATTCAATAATTAAAACATTTGAATTCACATTTCAAGCCATGATTGGACATCAGTTTACGCTTCCTCACACAGCTTGGACTGCGGTCCTGTTAAGAAGGTTGGAGGCAGGTAGAAGGAGCATCCACCATTAAGAAAAAGGGATAAAAATAATTTTAAAAAAATGTTTTTCAAATTGGAGGAATTCATTTTGCGCTTTGATATTGGTGTGGCACCATCCCACTTCTCACAGTTTTGAGACGAGTCCTGACATAAGGAATTTGAAATAGGAAATGTAAATAGGCTCTATCATTTTAAAGATCTCAGTTGCATCTAGTTTGTATTTGCATTTTTTATAGACTGTATTTGAATAAAACATTCCCACTTTATGAGGCAACAGCTTTAGTACAGATGTAGAACTGCCACCCACTGAAAGTGTCCTGTTAACATATGTGGTATACAGACCATTAACTTGGGATAATAAAAAAAAGTGTCAAAAATTAGTTTGGCATGCAGCCTCCTTGTTGGTTTTGCTGGAGTACAGGATAGAGACAAGCACATCACAAACTCCAGCTTTGCTGCTCTGAAAGATAATGTCTCATAACCTTGATGCCACTCACTTTCCACCAGGGGCACACAAAAGCTCTTGGTGTGTCAAGAGGAAGTAAATCGTTCTCAGAAGACAGGCTTACCATTGCGGGAAGTCACCAAACAGTTTAGGTTGTTCTGTGTCAGAGTCTCGAAGCACAGTCCTGAAGAGGGAGAAAAGAAAAAGAAAAACTTAAGTTTGGAGTATGGTACTGCACTCCAGCAATACTTAGGGTCAGTGTTAAAAACAGAATAGCTCGTGTACAAGTAAAAAGGAATATTCTCCTTGAACTGCAAGGAAAGGCATGCGCACCAAACCCAATAAAAATGATCAGAAAAAATTATTCATAGGCCCCAAACAGAAAGAAATCCTATTTCTGCTGCGTGTATTAGAGAAGTATTAAGAATACTGTGTCCACACATATATATTTTATTCCAAAACTTAGATCCAGTCACATAAGAGCCAACTGCTAACGAAGACATTAAAAAGATTGCAGGATTCAAGTCAATGAAAAAAAGCTCCAACATAAAGGAAGTGCCCAGAGTTTGGGCTCATCTCATTTACAACCTTAGGTATGTCACACCAATCAGTTTTAATGCCATATCATTTACATATTATGGGGACTTGGGTAGGGAGGTGGCTATTTATCCCTCCAAATAGAAAAGGATGCTTCTAGTCCAATTTATTCATTAATTCAGTCCCTAAGGAAGAATGGGAATATTAAATTTTCTTCCAGAAAATTCAATGGATCAATTGATCTAGCTAGCTAGAGAGAGAGAAAGAAAGAGAGAGAGAGAGATCAATATATTGATATATATAGATATAGATATAGATATAGATATATTTGGTGCCCTAGCAACATGAACTCATTAGGCCAGGGCGGGCAATTATTTCAGGCAGAGGGCCACTTACTGAGTTCTGGCAAGTCATCAAGGGCTGCATGACAGGCAGCCCAGGGGCAGATAAATATTAATTTTCTAAACTTTTTAGGGGTCCCGCAGGCCGGATAGAATGGCCTGGTGGGCCACATTCAGCCCCCGGGCCGCATTTTGCCCACCCCTGCATTAGGCATAGTTTGCATTAAAAAAAAGCCTGGGTAGCCTATAGATCTATCATATAAGCTTTGCTTACATATTGGTATTGTATGCATTTTCCTCATTGTTATGTATTTTATAGCCTTCCAGACTTTCACACAATGTTTCCATCTTTACAGAAGCTGTAAAGCTTTCAAGCTTTACAGAAGTCAAAACTTTGAAAACACGATAACACACACACACACACACACACACACACACACGTATATACACAATTGAATTTCCAGCCAGTGCACATGTCTGGCTGGTAATATGGCACATTAACTGCAATTGTGAAATCATTCAACGTGATGGATGTGTTGCCATGCACAGCTCGGATTCCTGCATCCTTTTTCCTGTACAATGAGTCACTGCAAATTTTGCCTGGATCATGATGCAACAACTCTGCAGAGTCCCAAACCTTTTATTAGAAACACAAATAGGCTAATGACACTGACATGAGAAAAGTACAAGTTTGTCACTTTAGAGTTGATGGCCACTCCATTTTTATACTGCAAATTTTAAACGAGCCATATAAAACCCGCTAAGAACAATTACGACACAACTGCAAAGACTTTAGGCCTTGATTCATCAAACCATATGAGCAGGTGTTCTCGCCTTAAACATCAGGAGCCACTTTGACTACAGTCCATGTTTAAAAGCAGGCTCATTACCATGTAGAAGACGTTTCAAATGGCACAAGGGGCATGTCAGTACCTAATCTGCTTTGAATATATACAATAAAAAGGTGCCAAAAAATGAACCATCTTCAAGACAGAGCTAGGTTTGTTTACCATTTTACTACTCTGAACAGGCTTCACATCCAGATGGCATGAATTACAATGGGATCTGTTCTCACCGACAAACACTTCCAGACACAAACATATTAACGGCCATCCCAAGAGGTTTCTATTTGTATTGCCGCTTTTTATTTCAAGAAAGCTAAATATTCTCTCTCTGGATTTGATAGAAAACTTTCATCTGTCAATAAATGATCAAAAAATCAACGGCATGCATTTTTTCTCTGATATTCTTTCCACTGACAGCAGAGACGACATTGTAACAGCAATGGCACCATGTGAATCCAGTGAAGCAAAGATGATATCTTCTGACCAGTACGTCTTAAGTGTCATTCTGTTTTTTCTCATGTTCATTTCTTTTTTCTAGATGAAATTGCAAAGCTGACTTGGGCAACACTATAATATTAAGTAGAATGGTAGTTTCCAAAGTGTGCATCTTAGAAAGTATATAAAAGGGTCTGAAAAAATTGTGGGAGGGCTGTGTAGCAAAAATCCTGCCACACTTTCCTCCCTCTGTTAGTACATATTGGCACATTGCATTTGCTCAGATGAAAGAAAACCTAATTGCTCCTATTTTTAAGTTAAAGCCAGAGAAAAGCAGTAAGTTGCACATATTATCAAGTCTATTTAATATTTATGCATTAAATCAATAATTTGCTCTTTAGGTTTCAAATTTCACTGTGGGGATTTAAAAACAAATCTGGTACAATGTTTTGCCTTTATCTTTGTGAAAGCCCTTCAGTTGTAATAAATCTCTAAGGGTAGATAAGTGGACAGATTTTCCAAATACCTCGGTACAATGAGAATTATTAGGTATGGAACATGAGCTGCTGTCTGCTGTGAGCTATTTCAGAAATGTGCATAAGAGAGTACATGTCCCCCTCACATATAGTCTGTGCTCAGAGATCATATTTCTCTCCCAAGCTTTTTTTTTTTGTCCCAGAAAAATCAAACAAAAAAATTGCCCTGTATGTTTACTTTTTTATTTTTTATATAAAGTTTGAGGTCAGTTGAGGGAAGGGGAAGAGCTCTGTTCATCTGAAAATTATTAAGTCTACATAAATTCATAGATATAAATCAAAAAGGGACTTGTGACTGCAAAACAATGATACTGCTAGGACTGTGAGGGGTTCCTTTCATTAGGAGAGAGAAAGCAATTATTTTTTTACATAATCTTTTCTTATGCTCACATATAGGAACGGTCATGCTAAAAAGACCCAGCTCTTATGAGAACCCGTGCCCCTTCCAAGCACACTCTCTTCATTGACGATCTCCGGTGCAATACATTGCTTTCATGCGTAACTAAATGACTCCTTTTCGACAGATTGTAGCTCATGCCAATACTTTAACGCCAGCTATTAACTCTATACACCTTTTGCAGGAACTAAATGCCGCTCCAATTTGGAAAGTCTGGCACCGTGCCAAGAGAAGTGAACAGTGCTGTCAAACCTTTTAACTACATCTAAACTGTAAATGGGATCCCAAACGGGCAAGAGAGGAGCATGCTATGAAGTGCTTTGGGAAGGAATTTATGTAGCAAACCTGACTCTATTTGCTTAAGAACACAATTGCTTCACCAATCAGAATAAACACAGACTTATGTTGCATGAGCACGTATCTGTAAGAAGCCACGGCATACCTGTGCAACAGCAGGAGCCCTGATCAGGTGTGGAAATCTTAGGGTCCTTTTAGAAAGATTCGTTTCCTTCTCAGATTTCCAGATTAGCAGTTGCATTCTACCTACCGATATTCCTCCAGCATTTTTCAGATTATCAGTTAACCTACAGCATATTCCTCCACGGCTCACAAACTAGCATGAATTTCTATGCTGGCTTTCCATAGAACCTCAAATTCAGTTCAGGATTTTGGTCTCCATCTTCAACAAGCTTAGTAGCCTCACACGAGCAAAGCTAGAAGATTACCTAAAACTCCAGTATGAAAACTCTACTTTTCCAATGCCATGGAAGTCTGTACCAGCAGGGCAAGCCTTCTTTGCCCAGAAGTCTCTCAAGGAACTGATCCAAGACCATGCAACAAACCCCCACTAGAACTAAATCATGAAGACCCTTGAATCAATTTCTACTCTACATGCAAGGCAAATTTCTTTGATTTCCTGTCTCTAAACAAACTCAGTGCAAGGTAACATTAGAAGAACTAAAACCAAAACCAGAATCCTACCGCAACTGGGCTTGCCAACCCTCCTGGATTGGCCAAGAGTCTACTGGAATCGGCATCGATCTCCCGGTGACTATTGAAAGCAATCCGGGAGATGGATATTGTGAATGGGTTGAACAGTACAATTAACGACATTAAGTTGTGTTGGGGGGAAAAAAAAATCTTCCAGAATCGTTTCAGTCAGAGTTGGCAACCCTAACCACAACTGAATACAGAAGTGGTCTGTACATTTGTTCTTCCCTAAGGAGAGAAAGAAAAAACTAACAAGTGACAGATGTTACTGAAATCACTTAAATACACAACTGGAAGATGCATTCCTCTCTGATGAGAGCAGAACTTTCACAGAACAGAATTAAAATGCAAGGTTAAAAATTGCTACCATTGCTACATGAAGTCAGGCAAGTGATCACAGAAGGAATCAGAGCTTCTTAACACTAAAAGAGGAACTTGATTCGAACAAGGTAAGGAGTTTCATACTCCTAAAGCTTCCTAAAGGGATGTTTTTCTTCCATGAACCATAGAATTATAACCTGAAATTGTCTCTAGCCCTTCCTGCCTGACTTTGAAGACGTAGTCCGATGCATTGTGTGTTCATGTCCATCCTTGGGCAACTCCAGTTCAGTGTTGAGAAACAATCTCTGTATAGAAAATCTGTGAACTGCTTTGCAACCATCACCATGGATACTATTTGACATGTGCACTAATTAGTATTTCCATTTTATTAATACAGTGCATCTTCATATAACTTCAAAACAGAGAGATATCACAAATTCTTTTTTGTCCATCGATCAAGTTAAGAGTTACTTAATTCTTCCGAGAAAGGACCACAGGATTTGCATAAAGCATTGAACTGCCAAATGGAAATAAACACTGATTTATTAAAATTTCCTAGTTGAAATGAAAAGGCTACATCATCCTAGCTTAGGCCCCACTCTGGGACTCATTACATACCTGCTATGCCAACGCAGTAGCACTGTGCCCAACATCCACAGGGATTTGCACAGAGGTAACAGTTTGTCTGAAGGTTGTACGTTATCTCAATACAGATACAGACAAGTGGTTTAAACTCACTTTCTCCTCCTAATAAAATATGCTGTGGTGTGTTAAAAAGAAGC